AATAGAATAGAATAGAATAGAATAGAATAGAATAGAATAGAATAGAACAGAACAGAATTAGAAAAGCATAGCATAGCATTGAATAGAATAGAAATAGAACAGAATAGAACAGAACAGAAATACAGGGATAGAATAGAAATAGAATAGAATGAAATAGAATAGATTTAAAATAAAAATAGAACAGAATAGAATAGAATAGAATAGAATAGACTGAATAAATAGAACAGAATAGAATAGAACAGAATAGAACAGAATAGAATAGAATAGAATGAATAAATAGAATAGAACAGAACAGAACAGAACAGAATAGAATAGAACAGAATAGAATAGAAAATTGAATGGAACAGAACGGAACAGAACAGAACAGAACAGAATAGAATAGAATAGAACAGAACAGAATAGAATGAATAATTAGAATAGAATAGAATAGAACAGAACAGAATAGAATAGAACAGAATAGAATAGAAAATTGAATGGAACAGAACGGAACGGAACAGAACAGATTAGAATAGAATAGAATAGAATAGAATAGAATAGAATAGAATAGAATAGAATAGAATTAGCATAGCATAGCATAGCATAGCATAGCATAGCATAGCATAGAATTCTTTATTGGTCAGGTGTGATTGGGCACACAAGGAATTTGTCGGTGCACTGATCTAGAAGACTGGAAACAAGAGGCTTACAAGTATTTATCTAGTGCTATTTTGGGGTTATGTTTTTTTTAATGATCTTACGCTGTTGGTGAAATCAGATTTTCCAAAATCCCTTTATCCCTTCATTTGTTTGTTCGTTCATTTAACTCTAACTTCTAAACATTCAACAAATATTTTCTAGCTATTTATGTCTACGTGGAACGTATTTCTCTTGTGAATAATTTTTATTTCTCTAATTCAGCTTGACATTTGATGCACCAGGTTAAATTGTTGTTGCGCTCGGTAACATGTAACATTTTGTTTAATTTCATTTGCAGCTTTTTTCTGTTAATAAAGGAGCTATACATTTTTTAAAAAGACTGTTAGATTTCTCTCCTCTTTGGGAGACCGTTGCTGATTTTTTTTTAAAAATGTTGTTTTTTGAACAAGAAGGAAAAATAGCCCGTTTTGTAACAGGAGCAGAACAGATGAGATGCAGAAATTAATTGCATGATTAAGAGGTTCATAATCAATTTTGCCTTGGTGGATCTCCAGGAAAACAAATCTGGAGAATCTGGAAAAAATAAAATTGGGGGAAAAAAAGAAAACTCTACCTTAAGGGTAGCTGTGACATAATAATAGCTAAGATTAGCCTTTATTTTTAAAGCGGGGAGATAAACCACCTTCGATTCCTGGCTAGGAAACGTTCTAAGCATTTAATAAAAATTGGATGGCTCTGTTGGCACCTGAGGCAGGTAGTCCTTGACTTACGACCACAATTGTTTTGCACTTACGACCACCACCTTTCCATAGTGGAAACCAACATTTCCACCGCTAAGTGTTTCAATGAGTTTCACCCCATTTTATGATCTTTCTTGCCACTGTCATTAAGTGAATTACCACGGTTATTAAATTAGCGACACGGCTGTTAAGCGAATCCAGCTTCCCTATCGACTGGGCTAGTCAGAAGATCGAAAAAAGGGGATTGCATCTCACACACACACACACACCAGGACATTGCAACCGTCATAAGTACATGCCAGTTGCCAAGCATCTGAATTTTGATCACGTGACCCTAAGGCTGCTTGCAACAGGGAGGACTGGCTGTAAGGCCCTTTTTTCAGTGCTCTTGTAACTTAGAACGGTCACTAAATGAACTGTGTTGCAAGTCGAGGATTACCTGTACTGTAAGATCTTAGCACAAAAATTGATGGACTGTAGATCAGGGGTCACCAACCTTTTGGACCTCAGGGACCACCAAACTCATAATTTTAGATCCCAGGGACCACTAACTGGTTCTGTGGGCGTGGCCTAATTTGTGGGTGTGTCTTGGTGGTCATGTGACTGGCTGGGCATGGCTTGTAGGTAAATATTGCAAATATTTATATAAATATTGGTTTTTTTTATAAAAGAGCAACTTTTACCCAAAATCAGGCAAAGCAGGCAGGCAGATTGAGTTGCTCAC